TTTTCTTTCTATGTTACCAAAGGGTCTGGTTTCAGGTAGTCTGACCATGCTAGAGATTCAAACTTACTGCGTACTTCACACTTCCCTACAAGGAGAACCAAAAAGCAGGTTTTTTTCAAAAGCATTTGAATATCAGGTCAGGGTTCTTTAGAACAGGCCTCAGAGGATTTCCCCCTCAGTAAACAGGCTGCAAAGAGATAATTAGCCTGTCATTTTAGATTCCAGTGCAGAGGAACTAAAAGCAGGCTATGTGGTTATAGACTCAAGAGGCTTAAACGAAAACAAATTAACTGAGTTTATGTTCCAACCAAATCTAGTGACCATGTGATCCGATTTCTCCTCAGCCCTTAAGTGGGACATGCTCCTGAGTGGTCACTCAGATTGTACACCTTTGGTTCAGACTGAATCACGACATGATTAATCGACTATCTGACTGATCGACTCTCTGGACACTGAAAACACAACCACTGTAAGAAAAAGAAAGCCACAGGCAGACTAAATGTTAACGTTTTGACATAAAACCACAAGAGAAAACTAAAAAACATCAAGGCTGTTTGTCATAGATTCCCTATTATTCTTACCATTCAACATGGTAGCCACCAAATTTTGAATTTTAATTCATGTAAACTGAATAGCCACATATATTATATATATATATATATATATATATATATATATATATATATATTTTTTTTTTTGAGACAGAGTCACCCTCTGTTGCCCAGGCTGGAGTGCAGTGGTGTGATCTCGGTTCACTACAACCTCTGCCTCCCAGGTTCAAGCGATTCTCCTGCCTCAGCCTCCTAAGCAGCTGGGACAGATATAAAATATTTTCACCACTGCAAAAACACTTATTGTAATATTCTAAGTCCTACTTTAGAACCATGGACAAGTTTACATGACCTGTTTCCAGTCCTCAACATCTAAATGTATGGGTAGCTTTGGGGGTCATACACACCAAAGTTCTACTGCTGACTTCAGGATCACAATAGAGCTTTATTTTCCCTAAAGCTCTCTAACTTAAAAAAAAAAAAAAAAAAAAACTGCCTTTAAGTGATGCAATAAGTATGCCTCAGAGAGTTTCCTGATTAAAGAATGATCTATCTCTCCTCTTGGGAACCGAAGAACCCAGGTGCCTCAAATAAAAGACTATTAAAAACAATTACAATGCAAAAAAAAAAATAAGAACACCATGACCACTGGAGAGCTTAGTTCATAAGAACATAAATCCTTTCCTTCCTTTTTGCCAAAACCTCAGCTGATAAACATGAAGACATTCAATAGGTATTCTCTGCAGAGAACATTTTTTAAAAACAAGTTATGCTTATTCTGGATAATGACACATTGTCGCTTTGAAGGAGTAAGATACACCAAAAAACCAAAACCCTTAATTCAATAAGATACACCAAAAAACCAAAACCCTTAATCCCATACCTGATATGGCTTAGATGTTTGGCCCCTCAAATTTCATGCTAAAATGTGATTTCCAGTGTTAGAGGTGGGGTCTGGTGGGAGGTGACTGGATCATGGTGATGAACACATCATGAATGGTTTGGCATCATCCTCTTGATAAGTAAATTCTCGCTCAGTTAGTTCACCTGAGATCTGGTTGTTTAAAAGAGTTTGAGACTTCCCCGTCTCTCTCTCAGTCCCCACTCTCCCCATGTGACGTACCTGTTCCCCTTACAGCATGACTGTAAGCTTCCTGAGGACCTCACCAGAAGCAGATACCAACACTACACTTCCTGTACACCCTGCAATACCATGAGCCAATTAAAACCCTTTTCTTATAAATTACCCAGTCTCAGGTATTCCAAATGGATTAGCAGAACACCTGAATACCCAATTTCATTTCTTACTGCTGTTTTCTCTCTGAGAGGGTAAGAGATATTCAATTTCATTCTTTCTTAGAGCTCTATTGCTTACTTATTGTATCTTTTTTTGTTGTTGTTGGGGGATGAGACAGAGTCTCTGTCATCCAGGCTGGAGTACAGTGGCTCGATCTCAGCTCACTGCAACCTCCACCTCCCAGGTTCAAGAAATTCTCCTGCCTCAGCCTCCCGAGTATCTGGGACTACAGGCACACACCACCATGCCCAGCTAATTTTTGTATTTTTTAGTAGAGATAGGGTTTCACCATGTTGGCCAGGATAGTCTCAATCTCTTGACCTTCTGATATGCCCACCTTGGCCACCCAAAGGTCTGGGATTACAGGCATGAGACACCTTGCCCAGCACTCATTATATCATTTTCTAGAGGAAGATGGCACAAGGAGCCAATCAAACAAATTTTGAGTTTAAAGCAGTTTTTTTGGGTTTACTCCCAAGCCTCTGATCCAGGCCAAATGTCATATTTCCACACTGCTTTGGAAGCCCAGCTTAATTAACTCTAACACACGGTTCCCAAAAGCAGCACTACTGACACCTGAAGCCAGATACCTGTTCATTATGGGGACTGCCCTGTGCATTGCAGGATGTTTAGCAAACATCCCTGGCCTATCCTCACTAGAGGTCAGCAATAGCTGCCACAGTTGTGACAAGCAAAAATGTTTCCAGACATTGCCATGCCCTGGGGGTACAAAACTGTACCTGGTTGAGAACCATTGCTCTAGCCCAAGGAACATTCTTGGTTATCTCAACCCTAATTCTTCACATTCATTAGATGCTCATCCAAATCTCTGCATTCATACTTTCTCTCACCATCGAACTCAGCAAATATTTGCAAAACCTCTAAGACACATCAAGGGCTCTAGATAAATAAGCAAGAGAGATTCCATTCCTACCTTTAAGCAGGTTTCTTAGTGGATAAAGAATTGTAAGAAAAGATACCCAATTATATAATGTTTTGAATTGTTCATTGTTTCCCCCTGAAATGGATCTCTCATCTCATCAAACTGAAAACACCTTGAGGACAAAGACCATAACGTGTCCACGAGTACCAATACTCGGTTCATGGTCAATAAAAACAAACAATTATAGACTTCATCATAATAAGATGACAAATTCATATAGACAGTAAAGCTTGCACTAACTTGAACAAGTAAGTTAACCTTTCTCAGCTATAGGTTGTTCCTCTGTAAAACGGGAAGAAAATGATTGTTGACATGACTAAATCAGAAAATATAAGCAAATCTCTTTCCACCTCTGGCACAGAAAAAGCATTCAATACCTGTAGGTTATCATTACTATGATTTTATTAGCAACAAATCCTACCTCAAAAGGAAGAGCTTGCTCTGGGCTACTATAATAAACCCCTACATGACATTTAAAAAAAAACTACCACCCTGCATTTTGAGGGTAAGAGGAAGGAAAGTAAGCATTTCTACCAATGTCTTAGGAGGAAGTGAATGCAGGAACCAATAAGATGGTGGGGGTAGGGGGAACATTCAGAGACAAACCCACTATCTTCCAATATATTCTTGAAGCACTCGTCTATCTAAAACGCTTGGGGATGTTTGCAGTATACACATGAGAACCTAAAGGGAAGTAAAAACATGCTTAATTTATAAATACTGGTGCATGCAAGGGACAAGTGTTATTAGACTTACATACCTTTTTGTGTTTACTTCCTTAGTCTTTTAGAAATTATGCTTAGAATTTCTATTGCTACAATGTTAAATACATGCCAATGATTTTGAATTTAATACAAAGCATTGAAAAGTTAGTAAAAAAAAATGGCAAAATTTGCTAGGTGTTTTAAAGTAAGAGGATATAAAGTCAACAGAAAGAACTGGGTGAGTTGTGTGTGTGTTTGAGTAAAGCAGCATTATGAGAGGGAAGATACTTGGGACAGAAGTAGAAGAGAGAAAAAGGCACCATGTTGGAAGCGATACATCCAAGAACACCTCTGGCAGTACAGGAAGTTCAACTGAACAAAAAGAGACCTTACTGTCACCACGGATGAGACGATAGTGCGTACCAGGGACTACACAACAAATGCCTTAGACAAAGCAGCTCAAGTAATCCTCAGAATATTCCTATGAGGCAGGTATTTTTAGTAATCACATTTTACAGATGAGGAAACTGAGGTTTCAAACTCCAATCCAGGCACTCTGGCTCCACAGTAGTGTCTCAACCATTATACTTTATGGTGTCTATTTTTATTTCAGACCTAGAAAATTAATTTATATTTGCTACTTAATAAGACCAGCTCTTTCCCCTGTACCCTCTGTATTTCAAAAGAGAATCCTTTCAGTTGCGGCGTGTGGTGCTCAGGAGGCTGAAAGATGAAAGTGGATGGGCTCTTTTGTCTTTGGACACTGAAATAATCCACGCGGAGGAACTCGCGTGGGTAGAAATGGAGACATCGTCCTGAACAAGAGGATGAGGCTCTTGAGAATGAGGGAGGTCGCCCAAATTTTTAATTCCTGCTGTTGCTTTGGCTACTGTGTTCAATCAAAAGACCGAGAGACTACCTACTCCAACTCTGCTTTTCATTTTTCCCACTCTGAGCGATGGAGAGGATGGCGGCAAGGCCAGGGGGCCTATATGCAGGGAGGCTAGGGCAAAGCGGGGTTCTGGCAGAGCAAGTCAAAGCTGCCAACACGGCTGCGGACAGAGAGGCGCGTGGGAAGACTGGGGCAGAGGACTGAGGTGGGGATCAGGTGGGGAGCCAGAAGCAGGCGGCGGCGAGGCCAGTGGGGTTCGGGACGGCAGTCTGGATGTGATCAGCAGACGGAGGTGGGACCCGAACCCCGGCTGAAGCTGAAACAGAAGCTGAAGCGGTGCCAGGGGCAACCACCCTGTCACTATCATTTGGGCAAATCTCAGAAAGGAAGCGGGGCAGGAATCGAGGCATTTCGAAACAGGAGTAGAAAATAACCTCGAGCCCAGGGTCCGGGTGGTGGCAGAGGCGGGGAAGGGGCCCTGCGCGCGAAGGAGCTGCCGAGATAGGTCCGCTCCGCCGAGGAGCCCGGGGCAGAGCGCGGCGGAGGCTCCCGCCGAGGTGCAGGGCCCTGAGGCCGGACGGCACCCACCCGCCAGCGCCCCGGCCTTGCGTACCTGAGGCGGTCGCCTGGCTCCCCTCCACTCCCTGGCAGTCCCCGACGCCGCCCGCCGACCCTTGGCGGTCTGTGGGGCTCCAGGAGCCAGGCCCCTCAGCCGCCTGCAGGTCCGACATCTGCAGCCCCCGCCCGGAGCTCTCCGCCGCCAGTCGCGAGTGACTCCGGAAACAGCCGAAAGCCGAGCGAGCGCCGGGCACAGCCGAGCGCAGCCTGCGGGCCGGAAGAAGTGGCGCGGCGACAGCTGGAAAAGCGAGCTGATCCAGGGAGTGCCGCAGGACCTTCGGCCTGCGAAGGCTGGCGATGTGGCCGCGGGGAGGGTTACTAAGTGCTTCTGATCGCCGATTTTTAAAGTCAGGGCTTGAAAGAACAAATAAAACCTGGGGAAGAGTCAGGAAGACACTGCCGGAAATCGTGGTATCCATAGAGACGCTATCGGAAGTTAGGGTTGCTAGGAAGCCGCGGCGCGTCCGCTAAACTGCAAATGGCTGAAGTCCCGGAGGATTATTATTCTGGCCCAGATGAAGATGGAGAGCCGGAGCCTGAGAGACCTGAACTGCCTGGACTTCATAAATTGCATGAAAATGCCGAACCAGAAACCATGGCAGAGGCAGGCCCGGAGCTACCAGCAGAGATTTACCAAGAGCCACAGCCAGAGACCGAGGAAGAGGACTTCAAAGAGGGGGAGCCAGAGAGTGCTAAGAACGTGCAGCTGAAACCTAGCGGGACGTCGGGGGAAGGAGTTGCCAAGGAGTCCAAGAGAGACGTACCAAGCGAAACTGAACCAGGGATTCCCCAAGAGGTGAAGTCAGAGACATCCAGAGAGATGAGGGAAGAGTTTTTCAAAGATTTGGAGGCCCCTATGCATGAAAAGCATGAAGAGTCAGATCTAGAGCCACCAGAAGAGGCTAAACCAAATGTCACAGCGAATGTGTTCCTAGAGTCAGCTATGGAAACAGATCCAGTGCGACCAACAGAAACCATGTCTGAGGTTTCAGGGGCCACAGTCAGAGAGACAAATTTAGACTTACTAAAGAAGGAGACTGAACCGGGGGTTCCAGAGGAATCACTTAGATTGCAACATAAAGAGGCAGGTCTAGAGCCTCTAGAGCAGACCAAACTAGATTTTTCAAATGAGAAACCAGGAGAATCACTTGAAGAAACAAATCTTCAGCTACCAAAGATGACCAAACCAGAGATTCCAGAGGAGACACAAATAAAGTCAACTGAGAAGAAAAGGACAGAGCCATCCAAGCAGGCTACACCAGAATTTCCAGAGAACAAATCAAGAAAGTCTACTGAGGAGGCAAATCTAGAGCCTCCACAAGAGACTCAACCAGAGGTTCCAGAAGAGATGCAAAAAAAAGCAACCGAGGAGAAAGGGACAGAACTACCTGAGCAGACTAAACTAGACTTTCCAGACCACAATCCAAGAAAGTCTACTGATGAGAAAGTTCCTGAGGCACTAGAAGAGATCAAATTAGAATTTCCTGGGGAAGAATCAAGAAAACCAAGTGAGGAAACAATTCTAGAACAATCAGAAATGATGAAACCAGAAGGTCTGGAAAAGATAAGAAAGTCAAATAAGGAAAAAAATCCACAACCACCAGAGGAGACTGGTCTAGCGCTGCCACAGGACATCAACCCAGAAGTTGAAAAGAAAACACAAATCAAGCCAACTGAGGAGAAAAATCTAGAGTTACCAGATGAAGCCAAACCAATAGAGACACATGTAGCATTTTTCAAGGAAGACAGTCCAGAACCAATCAAGTCTAAGTATTCTGTAGAAAAGGCTGAGCTAGAGCACCGTGAGCATAAAAGAGGAAAGTTGTCACTAAGTGATGAATTTGAAAAAGAATATGACTCATTAGGATCTGTCAGAGCAAGTGAAGAATCCATTGGTACACATTATGAGTTTTCACAGCAACACCAAACATTGCTTGATGTCAGTAAAGAATGCTCATACTCACATCCCTCAGAGTCTCAGACAGAATCAAGTGAGTTTGTCAGTGAAAAGAAAGTTGTCGATTTGTCCCAAGAGTTAAAGGAACTGGTTTCTGAAGATGAAGAAACCCAGCCAAAAAAAAGGACTGACATACAATTTGAGTATCTTAATTGGGATCCAGAGAAAGTTGCAGAGTGGATTAGCCAGCTAGGCTTCCCTCAATACAAGGTATACAAAAATAAGGTTTTTTGAAATCACATGCTCTCATCCTTCTACCTCTTACTCCTTCTAACCTGGCCTGAGCTCTTATCTCTGTACCAGAAGGAGGATCAAAAAGTCCTGGACTGTGGTAGAGGTAACTTGGATTTTAATTTTGGCCTTGTCACTGATGTATATTTGTATTTTGGGAGAGGAAGGGAGGGTCACATCTGTTTGTTTTTCCTCTTCCTCCCAGTGATTACATTTCTCTGCAATCCTTGAACAAAAGACCAAGAAGAGTATATAGACCTCTTTTCATAGAAAACTGTGTTTTTAAGTAGATTTTGTTCAGGGTAGGTTTTTCGGTACTTTGTCAAGTTGTTTTTGTGGTAGCTCCCTTACTTTGAATTTGTACTATTACTCTTTAAAGTGTCTGCCCCAAATATGTCACATGTATCATGAGCACTTAAGTGTATTAATTCAAATTATCCAGTTAACCAAAAATAGTTTTAGTAAGAAGATAGTTTTAGCCTCTTATTTCACTGATGCCAATTAGGTTTAAGGCTACCACAAAACAATACACAATCTGAAACCTTTTGTACCTGCTATACTGTTTTGTTTTTTTTTGTTTTTTTTTTTTTTTTTTTTGAGACAGAGTTTTGCTTTTGTTGCCCAGCCTGGAGTGCAATAGCATGATCTTGGCTCACTGCAACCTCTGCCTCTCAGGTTTAAGCAATTCTCCTGCCTCAGCCTCCCGAGTAGCTGGGATTACAAGCATGTGCCACCATGCCCGGTTAATTTTGTATTTTTAGTAGAGATGAGATTTCTCCATGTTGGTCAGGCTGGTCTCGAACTCCCAACCTCAGGTGATCCACCCTCCTTGGCCTCCCAAAGTGCTGCGATTACAGGCATGAGCCACTGTGCCCTGCAATACCTGCTGTACTTAAAAATGTAATTGAGACATGAAGCAGCACTAGTTGCACCATACCAGAACAATTAAAGAGCAGTGTAAAATTTAATGAAGAACTTACATGGAAAAATTGTGCCATTATTGGGAGAGAAAATAAATTTAAACTACTCAGGAGGCTGTGGCTGGAGGACTGCTTGAGCCCAAGAGTTTGAGGCTGCAGTGAGCTGTGACTGCGGCACTGCACTCCAGCCTGGATGACAGAGTGAGACCCTGTCTCTAAAAAAGAAAAAGAAGAAAATAATGTTTTTCCTCGGGATAGAACAAACTTGATTTTTTTGTCTTCCTCCTCTTCCCTCCTTTTCTTCCATTTGCTGTACATTTTTTAAGTGATGTCCTTGTTGTATTGACAGGAGTGTTTTACCACAAACTTCATCAGTGGCCGAAAACTCATCCATGTGAACTGCTCAAACCTCCCTCAGATGGGGATAACGAACTTTGAGGACATGAAGGTGAGTTGTGTCCCAAGTTTCCGTACAGAGCACTGTAACAGTGCCACAATCTGTCTCAAACCAACCTTTTCTTCCACCAACCTGGCCTCCCATTTCTGTGAAAGGTGTCGTCATAATTCCAATCCCTCAGGCTCACAGTGGTTTCCTCCTCTTTCTCCTTTGATCCCCATAAATATTCCAAGAACCGTCCATTGCTCCTGCGGTACTTACACTTGGCTTTCTTTTTTTTTTTTTTTTTTTTTTTTTTCCTCTGAGACAGAGTTTCGCTCTTGTTACCCAGGCTGGAGTGCAATGGCGCGATCTCGGCTCACTGCAACCTCCGCCTCCTGGGTTCAGGCAATTCTTCTGCCTCAGCCTCCTGAGTAGCTGGGATTACAGGCACGCGCCACCATGCCCAGCTAATTTTTTGTATTTTTATTAGAGACGGGGTTTCACAATGTTGACCAGGATGGTCTTGATCTCTTGACCTTGTGATCCACCCGCCTCGGCCTCCCAAAGTGCTGGGATTACAGGCTTGAGCCACCGCGCCCGGCACACCTGGCTTTCTTAATTCCTACTTTTCAGACCTGTATGACCTCATGTCTGGAACACCGCAGTGGCCTCCCGATTTTAGCCTCCTCCATGGGCCCTTTGGATTCAAGGGCCCTGCTTTTATGCTCTCACTTTCCACCTACTTATGTACTATTCAGAAACCTTTGGAACCCTTCTGCTCACCAAGATAGTCTGAGCTCTCTAGTTTAGAACTTAAGGACCTCCACAAGTTCCCTCCCCTACCACTCCTCCACATGAATTTTGTGCTCCAGCCTACCACCAGGTCTAACTCACACCTTGCAAACCCGCTGGTGCATTCCTCCCTCTAGGTCTTTCTCAGTTTCCCCATCCTCTGTATTACCAATAGGAGTCTTAATCATCCTTCAAGACCAATTCCTCATTTGCATCTCCCCAAGAAGTCTTTCGTAACATTCCCAGCCCACAGTAGCCCCCATCCCAAGTTCTCATGATATTTCACGTCTCTGACACCCATTTGGCATTTATATAACACCATGTGTATTTTGCCTGCTTTGCTGCCTAACTTTGAAACAAACTACATTAACCACTGTAAGCCTCAATTTTCTAAGATATCCAACACCAGGAGTTCATGATTACACTCCTTTGCATAATGGTACCTTCCATTTGTAGTGCTTTGCAATTTATAAAGCATGACAAACATAATCTCATATGTAACCTCTCCTTTAGCACCCCACCCCAGTAACCCTCCAAGAACAGACAGTTCTTGGCATAATCATGGTTTTGCTCAGCACACCCATGCCCAGGCAATTCTCCTGCCTCAGCCTCCCGAGTAGCTGGGACTACAGGTGCATGCCACCATGCCCAGCTAATTTTTGTATTTTTAGTAGAGACGGGGTTTCCCCATGTTGACAAGGATGGTCTCAATCTCTTGACCTCGTGATCAACCCACCTTGGCCTCCCAAAGTGCTGGGATTACAGGCATGAGCCACCTCGCCCAGGCTGAGATTTTTTTTTTTTTTTTTTTTTTTTTGAGACTGAGTTTCGCTCTCGTTACCCAGGTTGGAGTGCAATGGCACGATCTCGGCTCACCGCAACCTCTGCCTCCTGCCTCCTGGGTTCAGGCAATTCTCCTGCCTCAGCCTCCTGAGTAGCTGGGATTACAGGCACGCGCCACCATGCCCAGCTACTTTTTTGTATTTTTAGTAGAGATGGGGTTTCACCATGTTGACCAGGATGGTCTTGATTTCTTGACCTCGTGATCCACCTGCCTCGGCCTCCCAAAGTGCTGGGATTACAGGCTTGAGCCACCGC